CCATTTTTTTATAATGCTTCTTGCGGCCCAGCACCTCCCGACATGTTGAAGTCAATCCTTTTATGATCCTTTTCCAGTTGTCTTCCACAGTAGTTTCTTTTTTTCAGTAGATCCTGTAAGGCTTGGAACTTGTTGTTGAGAGCTAGCTTGAATTCGTTGAGTTTGTTAGTATCTCGTGAGAAGGCTGTATTGAACCTTTGCACTGCTGTTTGTCCAGTTGTCCAATGCTTCTTTGACTTCAGTTTCATCTTGACAACCACCTTGTGGTTATCTGAAGCTATGTCAGCTCCTCTCTTGGTTCTCAAATCTTCGATTATCCTTCGGAATTATTTATTGGTGTAAACATGATCCATCTGGTTCTCGTGGTGTGGTCTGGTGAGGTCCATGTAGCTTTGTGTATGCATTCGCGTGAGAATATTGTGTCACCAAAAACCATTTTGTTGAATGCACACGAATTTGCTAATCTGTCACCATTCTCGTTCCTTTCTCCTAGTCGGTCCATGACCTACCATGACATCTGGGTATCCTATGTTGTCCATTCCAATTTCGGCGTTTGGGTTTCCCATCAGGATGGTCAGGTCCTTTCCTAAGCACTTCGCTATGATCAGCTGCATTCTCTCATAAAGTTGATATTTGTCGTTGTCGTTGCTATCATTGGTTGGTGCATAACACTGGATAACATTTATTGTGATTCCCTCCTCCTTTGTTTTGAAAGATGCTTTGGTGATCCTGGCTCCATGAGTTTCATATTCAGTAAGTGCTTTTCGTGCTTCTTTGGACAGCATTAGAACAACTTCCCTAGTGTGCGCAGCATTTTGTTCTTCGTGACACGAGTTCAGAAACATCTCCCGAATCTATCCTTTCCTGTCCAGCTTGGATCCAATGGGTTCCACTTATTCCGAGCACTGCCAAGTCGTATCTCCTCATTTCCACAGTTATTTGACTGATCCTCCCGGTCTCCTACATTGTCCGAACGTTCCATGTACCTATAAAATATTGCTCTGTTTGTTAGAAGCATCGACCTCGTGACTTTCGAAGAATTTTGGCTTTCATCATGAGACGTCATAATTCTTCCTTGAACTCCCAGGATAGTGTTTAAATGGTTTAATTTGTTTAATCCTGTTGGCGTTTTTTTAGCAAGATTTCTTTCTATGTGGGGTTGCAGACACTATGCCCAACCCTCTTTTTTTACCTGGGCTTGGGACCGACAGTAACTCTAGGAGAGCTACAGCTAATAAGAATATCAAGAGTTTTATGCACATTTAAGCAACTGAAATACCGTTTTGTTTTGAAAAATCCAAATGTAGCTGAGGGATTCAGTGACACACTCACACGAGTGTAGATATCAAGTTTGGTGCTATAAGAGGTATGTGTTTCTGGGTTTTTGAAATGTGCCACATTCAAAAATTTAATTAGATAGGTTAGAAATGAACTGTTCTAGTGGGTTATATATAATCTCATCTATTTTAGCTATCACTGTAATCATATTCATCGATTCGTACTACTGTTTTCATACGTAAATGATCTTTTATTTGTTTCTACTACTTAATATTCTGTTACTGAATGTTCTGCTTTTTCATTCCTTTTTAAAATATGTACGTAAACTTGAACATGAAACATGAAACATTTCCGTTCAAATGTTTAAGGAATGTGGAACTTAATATTTTTGGTTTAACGTAATTTTATTTCAGAAATCAACAAACAACCAATCAAAACAATCTGCGGGAATAATACTTTCTCTCTGTCATCTATTTTATCCCATAAATTTATGCAATTATCTTATTGAAAATATTAATCAGCTGTGCAATCAACTGTAGTTTGATCGAATATTTCACACTGATCGTAAATTACATCCTTGGTAGTCAGACTTATGTTTGCACTCATGTAGTATGAAATTTGTTTTCGACCAGACCAGTGAACTTTGATCGTAGATTCTAATCTATCAGTCCTACTCTGCTTATGTACAGAAATTTGCTTTCTCTGTTACCCGACACTCCCTTCACTTGAATATATCACCCCTTTCACTGAATATGTTTAACCAATGACAAGCTAGCGATGATTTGTATGTCCACACATTTCTCCGCATTCTTCACAGTTATACACTTTTTTCGTATATGCTAAGGTAAGATAAAGAGAGATAGAGAAAACAAGCGAGCACATTGGAATCGAAATTTAAAAATAACCTGAAAGATAAATCACTAGTGTTGTTCACTCTCTCTCTCTTCATAGACATATACATATTTACGCACATGATAAGAGTATACACACGCAAACATTGCGTAAATCTACAAATCTTAAACATCTGTTCGTTTCATCGAGGATACACATAAAGGTATAAGTATATGATCAATCCTAAGCTTGACATGAATGTAAACTTTGAAGCAAACATGATAATGGGGTGGAGAAAACAATGGAAAATCGTTCAAACGAGTAGTGAATAAATGAATGAATGAGCAATAGATGAATGAGTGAATAAATAAGAGAGTAATGGTGGACAAATTGAGTGAACCATCACAATATTTAAAACTGTTTAAGTAATTAAGTTATTGAACGAATGAATACTAATAAAATGTGCACAAATGTGTGTTGTATGTATGTATAAATATTTTTGTATTTACGTATCATCACAATACAAAATGTTATTTAACACACGAAAACATTCATTTTCATTTGAACTATCGTTAACATTCATTTGTACAATACAACTACTCGGATTTGTACTCATCATTTGGATAATAATTTTAACAGTAAAGTAAGTTTATAAAGTAACTCGTGGAAATAAAAACTACTATTATTATTATTATTATTATTATTATTATTATTATTATTATTATTATTATTATTATGCTAAAATCGTATTATCTCTTATTTTTCTCAATTAACCTACCGTTCAAATAGACGATCTTAACGAAATTATAAAACTATTAATACACTTTAGTCGATTGATAGGGATTGGAAACAATCAAGAATTTAATAATAATATATACACTGTTCAGGATGGTTAGTTTACGTTCTATTATGGTAGATAAGAATTAAATCTTTGTGATCAACAGGAAACACATACGAATATTTCGGCAATCTAAGACTTATAAACAATATATAATCTCAGTGAAGTAATTATGGATCAAGAGTTTATAATGGTTACAAAATCAATAAGAATCCCTTAAAGGTTAATGAAGTCAATGTAATGTTTAAGGACTATTTATTAGATTCAGAAAAGTTTTATTGGTAATCTAGTGACATATACTTTGTTTAAAGATGAGTGTTTGTCATTTGTTATCATATTAACTTTAAATTGAAATGGGAACTATCTTTGAGATTATGCGTAATCCCTGATGTTTTCTTTTAGTTACTGCGGTTCGTGTTAATCATGTATATTAATTAATTCGTCTGTTTGATGAAAAAGGCGATTTCTGCACCACAATGTATATAGGTTGCATCAATTGTTAGTTTCTTTAGGATATAATTCCCTTATGCAGAATAAAAGTTTTTATTTTTACTCATTTCTAACTAATCTGGAATCAGTCTAGCGAAAAAAAATTCTTAGACAAGTATTATTATTCTTTATCGTACTGGTCTAATCACTGATACACGAAATCCGTGGATATGACGCATAGTGAATTGCGTGGTTTAATAATCATTAGTTGGCTATCTCTAGATATCATAAGACGTAAATTTAAAGATGATAATTAAGAAAAAAGAATTTCCTCTGCTTTGCATAAAGCAAGTTTTATGTTTTACTCCAAGATATGAATGTAATCCATTTTCGTCAGTTATCATTAATTGGCTAACTTACACTTGTACGGCAACACATAGCCATTCGAATTCCACTCAGTGAGGTACATTTTTCTTATCGCACTCTAAATTTTCGTGCCTAAACACTTTCTCAACGCTTTAAAAGTCAAGACTTCATCAATTTCCATATAACAAATGAAATCCAAATTCTTCTCTATTGCCATTAGATGGTAAATTAATGACTACTTATTGACTTTTATACACAACGTGATTTTGTTATCCACATCTAGTGGATAATTAACACTATTACCATTAAATAAGCAAATAGCTAATTAGTAATAAGTTTTACATAACAGGAAAGACTTTCTGTGTCATCCATTAGATAATTCATAATATCTTATATTATTTATAACAGTTTCATGCTAAATAGTTGTTAGTTAAATAGAATATCGATTGCACGGATAGAATTACAAGATTAAGAAAACAGTATATATCTATCTGTAGATTGGGTAGACAGCATTCATTTATGTTGAACGTTATGATACACAGTAATGGATTGAAAATATGATGGAATATGATAAAATTTAAAGAATTTATTACATAAATAAGTAGCGTTCTCTTGGTACGTACCTAAAAAATCTTGTTTTTTTTCCTTTAACCATTAGAAAGTATCTTACCTTTACAGCTGGTATCGGTCATTTCCCAACATGAAACAACACGGAACATTCAGTTCCACTTTAGCTAAAGTGTATCGGTACACTCAGTCAACTTCTGAACAATATGTATTGTGTTTAGGGAAATTTTATCATAGTAAATATCACAGTAAACTTGCACATACATCTTTTTTGTCTCTTAAACTTATTTCAATTAATCATTCAATTTCCATATGAAGTAAGCGAAACTGTCTATTATAAAGGTTGAATGAATTATAAAGAAAACATGAGTGAAACACTCATGGAATTCGTTTAAATCGTTACAACTTATACGAGAATAAATACCAAAGACTGAATTACATATTGTAATTAAATCTGAAACTTGTACTGAAGTAGTTAAACTCCACTTTGGTAAAAAGAACTTCTGTTCACACTACGAAGACTTCTTTTCTGTTACTAATAAAACCATGTAAATGTAAATCAATCGATCAATCTAGTTTTTAACTACTTATGAGTAATATTATTAATGGAATTCTTATAATTTCCCTTTTTTATATTTAGAAAATACTCTACTTAACATAAAGAAAATCTAATACTAGTATCTCAGTTTCAATGTTAACTCATACAGAATCAATAATTAGTCCACTAATTTGCCATAACTACAATCTGTTTAATAAACAAACTCACATGTACCACCCTATTATATCTGACAGTTCCACTTTACACAGTAATCAGATAGCCTCTTGTACAACTATTCATAAAAACAACAACAGTGATAGTAGTAACACTGCTAACATAAACAATAATTCCAATAGGAATAATTTACATTTCAGAAATAAGCCTGATTACACAGAAGTAGCTGAAATACGAACATTGACAGCATCAGAGTCACTTAAGAACATGTGTCAGTCTTTTGATTTGGGAACAAAACAGCTGAATAATGGTAATGATAACAATGATCATCGTCAAAGTAATGAATCGCAGTATTATCAGTCAATGCAGTATTTAAACTCATGCCTATTTAAGTCACTACAATTAAATTTCGCATCATCCAATGAAGCATGCCACGGCTATAATCATCAAAACAATGAAATAAATGAGGAACTTTCATCGGATTATACAAAAAACAAGTTATCACATGGATCAATAATGAGAAATAATGAGACTTTAAAAGATAGTCTGTCAGCATCAGCTATTCCAGTCAAAACGTCACCATCTCTGTCAACATCCTTACCTGTTTCACTCTCATCATCTAGTATACATTCATCATTGTATAGTGAATCAAATGGGGTCCAACTTCCAATAAGCGATTTATTCTCTTATAAACAAGGAAGAGATGAAATATTTAATAAACTTGAAACGGTGAATGAATCAGTAAATGTAAGTCTATCTGTGTATGGACAGTTTGGTTTACTCTTGTCTTTATTGTTATCTCAATTTTATTGTAACATATATTGAAAATAATACAAGTAGACTACTAAAATTTTAGTGTTTCACAGGTAGTACATTGGCTTTTTATTCTGGAAATGAGTCGAAATTGTAGGGTTTTCAATTGAAGCATTATACTTACTACTTACTTACATACTTACGCCTGTTACTCCTAATGGGGCATAGGCCGCTGACCAGAGAAGCATTATAGGACAGATGTAAGACAGATGTAAATATTGAACTTATTTCCTACAGATTATTCACATTATCCATATGCACCAATATTGTGACCTCATAATCAAAGACACGAGTTACCCAACTATAGATGGAATCGATGACAGAAAATACCCCCAAATCAAACTTAAATTTAATGATAGTTTGATTTTGATGATGATGATGATGAGAACTTTTGAGTTCTGTATATCAGAGTAAGTATCATTAGAAAACCTGGACGATAGTAATTCCTACCGGTTGTTTGTGTGAATAAGAGAAATTAAACTTTTTTGTTTATTTTGAACTGAATTAGATACCCCGGAAGGTTAATTTTTGCTAAATAGATAGAGTTAGCTTTTGTTTAGACTCAACTCATTTTTACTACCATTAACAAGACTAAAGTAAAAGTATTGGAATGACTAATAGAATACCTGTCAGATCACTATTTAATGCATTTTCATTTATATAATGTATCCATCACCAAAGAAGTGTTTGATTTAATATAAATTCATAATCTCTGCATTATATAAGTACAATCAATTATACTGTTTCGTGATCTGTCAAACTTTAAATTATTTTCATAAATTGTCATGACTATCCAACCGGTTTATTGGCAAAACAACCTTTACTTACTTCCCTACTTAATATTCAGAGCCCTCAGATGAGCTATAGACGACCGACAAGTATCCTGAATTGATCTCTGCCCCCATGCTTTCCTTTCCAGCTGGCTTCAAATCAATTCCGTTGTTCTTTTACGTTCTTCAGTCGTCATTTTTTTAACACTACAACGTACACATTTTAACAATATTTATCACACGGTCAGAATTACAGTGATTAATAGCTAGATGTTCTGGTTGAATCAGGAAAACAACTATTTCTAGTTGAATGAAGAATTACTTTCAATTCATTCCAGAATGTAAGTCACACGTTACATATTGTATAAATAAAGTGATGGTAACCCATTGGACTGTCAAAATACAAGTAAGTCTCGAAAGCTGAAGCTATTTCGATCATGAGCGACTTAGTAGGTTTATTCTGATATTGTACTTTAAAATCAATCTAATTCTGGTTGAGTAAGAAGAGGGTTTTAATTAGGATAGTGGTAAATTAACAGAAGCTACCATTCAAATTTACACTTTGTTAATTAACGTTGAATAAATTTTAACAATATTCAATGTCAGCATAGTTTAATTACTATCACTCCCTCCTTTTACAACTATCTGTTCTTTAGTGGTGAATAGTATTGATGAGAGTCCATAAAGCTTTCGCATTTATAATCACATGTCTCCTAGAAGGGACAAATGCTTCGAATTTTTATTATTTGCATCTGGAAAACATTTTAGTATCTATCTATATCGGAACAAATTATCAACCGTACTTTACAAGTTTTTTATTCAACTGTAACCACTAAGCTTTACAGATAACCTGAAAAGAAATCTATTTTTTCAAGTTCACATTTCGAACAACACTTGCCTGTGTATTAGTAAAAATCCTGATTTTTCAGAGGTGCTGAATTATCTATGTAAATAGTTGCAACTGAAATCGATCTTTTAAGTATGAACATGCGTTCATATTTGCAATCTATAATTTTTTGGGAATAATTGATGAATATTTAAAAGTAAATTACTGAATCTGTAGTCCCTACTTTCGAATACTAAGGAATTTATTACTGGTTTATCATACTTTTTATTTCGTGTCATTTTCCCCACTAGTAAGGTAAATATTATTATGTACATTCATTTCTACTCCCGACTAATGTATCTACAGTCATACCAATATTCCTCTAATAAAACTTCATACCAACAAATAGATAAGTAAGCTATTATCTGAGTTTGATTAGCTGAAAATTTTCGACATTCACTGAAAAAGGAGATTTATCGAAGTTATATCTATGTAATATACAGTTTTGGAGTATCTGTTTAATATTCTTTATAAAGTGCTACAGAGATAAAAATGTTACTACAATCAATTCACCTTTAAAAGTCATGAATTAGTAGTGTTAATGTGTTTAGATATGGTGATCAATTTCTCTATTATTATTTTTATGGTTTCACAACCGGTCTGTGTTTTGTTTAACAATGATCTATATGTTACATACTCAAGATGTATTAAGTAGAGGTTGACAGTTCTCTATAAATGTATTTCAAGAATATTATATCTAACTGTGAGATTTGCAAATTATGTGAAATAAAAAGATGTTCCCACTATTTATTTGATTTATATCACTAACTGCAAATTTTGGAAATACCTATTTACTTCTCAGAATTCAAAGTACCCAAATTGGTTGTGATATTAAAGTTACATTAGTTTCCTAATAATTTTTATATTCTGACCATTTTGCAAACAGATTGATTATCATCCATCGATTAGAATGAGTAAAGTATATATATTCAAGTCTTTCGGGTGTACCTTTGATATCACTATTGATTGTTTCAAAGTTTCCGTTTTTATTTAAATAATTTCAAATATTGACAGAAAGAAAAAACAAAAACAAATCCAGCTTACATAAATCTTCTCAAGTAATCAGTCTACTATGTATACAGTTGGACTGGAATGAGATTGTCTAATGATTTATTGTTGTGTTATTTATATTGAATTATATTCCCCCCGGTTTTATTTGATAATAACTTAATGAACAGGTGAAACGAATTGTCAATTGAAATTTAAGACAATCACAGTATTGTGTTAATGAAGCGTAGTAATTTATTAGGTATTTAACCATGAATACGTTTGTTATTTTCTATTTCCATAACAATCAATTCATTCCATATGCCTTTTGAACTTTAAACATTGATCTTCATCCTTTTTTTTTTAAAAAAAATTATAAATTATGATCATCATAACAACGAAGCCAGTTATTATTCAATCATCCATTTGCCTCAGTTGTGATTAGTTCAGTAATTGAAATTAAAACTCTCTTCTTTTAATCATTAATTTAATGTAGCATTTTAATTTATTGATGAGTATATCTATTTCTCAATCATTTAACCTTTATTCTATGTGTCATTTATCAAATTATTTCATTAATTCTATGAACTAAGAGAAACTGAATAAATGACTGGAACACTGTGACTGTATAATAACAATTCCACTGTTATGTTCTAAATATTATGGTATTTTCTGAAATACCTAAAAAGTGGATGATTAAACTGTTTTACATTACAGTTTCTTATCATGAATTTAATTGGATGATTAGACTTGAGATTTATTTTGTTTGTGTAATGAAACTGATAGTTATAGGTAAAACTTATAACCTATACATATTTAAATAAAATGTTAATTGGATATCTGTACTATTAACTAAGGATTTATTCATCACTTGCAATACATCTGATAACTTTATTGAGATATGAAAGTGGGATATAAAAGAAAAAAAACTAATTACAATCATCAGTAACCGAAAACTCAATAGTACAATATGTTCATAGTGAAGAATATTATTAATCATTTTTTAGATTATGAAAAAGGAAAATTATGAATTCAAATTAGATTACAGCTAACACTACAGTTCAGAACGCGTGTTCCGTCCTATTTGAGATCAGTGAGCTGGATGCGCCTGAATTCCTGCGTCTATGTTAAGACTGAGAGCCGGTGTTGTTAAAGCTTGTTACTAAATATCACTACTGAGGTTGTCTGCATAGAATACATATATGCCTATAGAAACTGACTAATTACCATCTATAAAATCTACAACGAGTAAACGCTATATCTTAAAAATCACTTCACATTCATTGGAAAAATTAGTGATTATCTACACTCAGTAGCTAACTAGATAAGAAAGTATTAGGTACTGGGTTGAAAATTTTGTGTGTTTCATTATTGAGATTCTGGAAAATTAGTTGACGAGTCCCATATAGGACGGAACACGATTTCTGGATCCAATTACTAGCTAAAATTTAACTGCATTAAAGTTTTCGATTAAATAGTAACGTCGACATAACACATTTTAGATGTACATATGCCGATAGAGCTGAATCCCAGTCATCTTAGTATCCTAGTCTAATAGACTTCCTTTTGAAATGGTTCATGAACCTCAGGTTGAACTAAATTGATCGAATTGGTGAAAATGGGTCTTATTTTCACTGTTAAAAACTTAGTGAGTAAGTGAACAAATCATGAATAGTGTACATTCATAGGGGTATTTATTAAAAATTCTGGGTTCGATTCAACTAAAATTACGAACACATGTTTAATGTATTGTGTATAAGTTAACGGTATTTATGTGGAGCATGCGAAAGAAGCAACAATAGAATTCTCAGTAATAATGATAGCATAGTATCATAGAACGGTTAACTTCATATGAATTATACCTAAATTACGATATTTGAAAATGAGATTTTACCTTGGTAAATTTTAATACTTTTAAAAGCGTATAGTTTATCCAATTCATAATCAGTTAATGTAAGACATGCGTTTCATGAAATCGTGTACAATTTACTATTAGATAGTAAAAACGATGCGTACAAATTAAAATGGATTATATCATGAAATTTAGAAACTAATATAGCAGTTCCAATCGTTTCCGCTGATGTTATTTAGGTAATTATTTGATTCAGTTATAATTTTATTTCATTCTAAACACGAATAACCAAACGGAATGTTTATGCTGTTCCTTTACTTCTGTTTCCGTGTAAATGTAAATGAAAGTCCTGACAACAACAACGAAAACCATTTGTTAGCCAATTTTCTTGCTTGTTCCGTTCATGCCCCCCCTTTCTCTTCATTAGTGTCATACTTTG